TTTTATTTGAATGGTATATTTTTTCATTTAAATGCAATATTTTTTCATTTAAATGCAACATTTTTTATTCAAATGGTATCTCGAATAATTCAGCGCCCTCTATCCACTACATTTCTCGAGGGCTTGAAGGCATAGTGACCATTGGTCGCGTTAGCCCTGTACAAATTGTACAGACCAATCAGAGTCTATCCCATGGCGAGTCTGCGCAAAGATTACTTCCGTGGTAAATACCGCTTTTTTACAAAATTCAAAATGGACATCGATCAATGCCTCCGAATGATAGAAGATAAATATGACTTCAGATTTAAAGAAAAACAGGGAGAATCTATTAAAGCAATTGTCCAATTGAATGATACATTCATTACTCTGCCGACGGGTTATGGAAAGTCCAGTATTTATTTTTATCTGCCCGAGATATTTGAGACCTTGACTGGAGAGAAATCGCCTATTGTTGTCATTTCACCGCTACAAGCATTAATGCTGGACCAAGTGCAAAAACTGGAAAAACTGTCAATAACATCAGTTGTGGTTGGTGAAAGTCAGAAAGATAAAAGTGTCAACCAGAAAATATCAGAAGGACAATTTTCAATAGTATTTTCCTCGCCGGAGGCTGCATTGACATCTGGAATGTGGAGGAAGAGTCTGACATCAGGTGTTTTCCATGATCTTGTAAAGGCAGTGGTCATTGATGAAGCACATTGTATAACTGAATGGTAAGTTTAATCTCTTATTGATTGTATTATAGCAGTGGCGGATCCAGGATAAGGGGTGGGGGTCTGGTGATTTGAACCCTCCTTTTTTATGATCAATGCTTTTAGAAATGAGGACATACAATGGGACCCCCTTTTAAATTTTAAACTTGGCTAGATCTGTATATTCATCCTTGTACTGTATCTTTCATAATTGACATTATGCCAAAAAAAGTAATTCATTTTCTTACCTACCTACCCTCATTAGAGGATGGATTGGGTTTTTAGAAAAGAAAATGATGGGAATCATTTTATAAAAAAGTATAAAGAAAAATAGTATAAAATATTAAAGACCAAAGAATTGAGGAATCACATCAAGACCCTCTTACATGTACAATGTAGTACCTGGTCCCAGTATTTATGATGTCTTGAAAGGAAGGGATCACTGCCAAAAAATAAATTGGCGATTCATAATTGTTTGTATTAACATGAACTCTGATATTATATATATATATGGACATTTTTGGTTAATGTCCATATATAATATATATATATTAATGGATGTTTTGGATTAAATTGTTATAAATTTACTGAATTGTTCCATACATGTACATGTGATGTATATACAATGCATATAATGAGGAAAAAAATGAAAAAAATAAAAATACTGATCTTAATTAAATTTTTAATGATAAATTCTAAATGTTGTTGGTCATGTATAATAAATTTTCATTGCACATGATAATGAAATACTGTAAATTCATCATTGCATGTATTATTATTGTAATTTTTGAAGAAATAATAAAAGTTAAGAGTTTAATTATTGCCAATTTTGGGAATGCTGCATCAGATATATGTTTTTGGTATATATCATAATGAGAGTTCTTATTATTGCAGTCCTCGGGTAGTCACATTATCAACATTAATAAAAACCTTGCAAAAATTTCTGAATTAACAGTAATGAATGTCAGTTGCTTAAATAAAATAGACAACACTGAGTTTGAATTATGTTGAATTGCTTCTTTTAAAATAGATTTAATCTGTGTTATAATTATCCTTTAAGTTTAAATGTACTCTTATTTCAGGGGTGGTGAATTTAGAAAAGAATATAACAGACTTAATGAACTGAGATCAGTTTTTCCAGAAAAAACAGCCTTTGTAGCCCTTACTGCAACAGCAACTAAAGCCATGAGAACCGAAATAATGAAGAAACTCCAAATGATACGATATGACACATGCACGGTATCACTTCTCCCTGACAGACGAAATGTAATATATCATATGCAGAAATCCTGCAAGAAGAAAGAGGAACTAAATTGGCTTCTTAATGATTTAAAGACAAATGGTAAAAGTTCTAAAAAAACAATTGTTTACTGTAGAAACATAATGTCATGTGCTGATCTATACAAACATTTCTGTAATGAAATAGGACAAGGCAGTGATCTTGAGAAAAGAATGGTTGCAATGTTTCACCGCTCAACAGAAGACACAAACAAAACCCATGTATTGTCACAATTTCCTTCTTATGACCCTTATTTGAGAATTATATTTGCAACAATCGCATTTGGTATGGGTGTGGACATTCCAGATATTGAACGTGTTATACACTGGGGTGCACCTCGAGGTCTGGAACAATATTCTCAGGAAAGTGGGAGAGCTGGTAGAGACGGTAGAGAATCAGTGTCTTGTATTTTTTATTCCGGTTATGACATAGCTAAAAATCGCTGCAAGGAATCAGTGCGGGACTTCTGTACAACAACAAAATGCTTACGTATGCAGCTGACTTCACATTTTCAATTAGACAACATTGCATCACCATCATCAGGGAGCATTTCAAGCCAACCAACATCATTGTATCGCTGCTGCAGTAACTGCAAAGTCAACTGTGTATGTGGAAACTGCTTCAGCTTTAATGATGAAAACAATTCCAATGACCTACTCTCTAGAGAAGACGACTTCTTGCTTGGACAATTTTGTGGTTTTCTTAATGAAGCAGTGAGGGAAAACTTACTTGATTACTATGAGTTCCTTGTAGAAGAAGGAGAAGGACGTCATCTTCTTTTTAATAGATATATGATAGAAACAGTTGTAGAAAATGCAGACTTCATTTTCAGTGAAGACAACATTGTGTCTCTTGGACTTATAGATCATAACCTGGCAGGAGATATTCTAGAACTCATTGCAGAAGTTCAAGATTGACTGTATTACTATTTTAAATTAAAGCTGTTATATATGATCCTTAAGACTTAAATAAACCCTTTGATGCCTTGTTCTATATATACATGTAACTGCATACTAGTAAAGTAATTTCAAAATATAAATGCAATTTGGTATAATTGCAAGAGGGACAGTTTTGTAACAATAACAATTATCATTTAAATTTTGTATAGCACAGTTTGTAAAAGCTTTTCCTTGATCAATAATGTATTTAATAGTCTCTTCAATGTTCAACAATTGCAATTAAAAATGCAGGCTAACGTTTCTGATCTACCAATATCTGTTCTAGTATTTTTTACAATTCCTCCAATTCAAAGTAGACAAGCTTTGACTTGTGCAGTGCAGTTACTTTTTTGTTGTATGCTTGTTGACAAATAAGATGTGGTATGATTGTCAATGAGACTACTCTCTTCCTGGTACCAGAGAACATATGACATAAAAGTAATTAGCAACTGTTAGGCCTTCCACAATGAGCAATGCCCATAACAAGCAGACTTTAAAAGACTTCAGAGGCATATGTAAAACCATCCAAACAAGAAAACTAATTACTAGTACCTAATTTATCATTACATTATGTCCATGATTTACAAAGTAATAAAAGAAAAACAAATGCGGTAAACAACAACAAACCACACTGAATTTTCAGGCACCTGACTTGGTACAAGTAACAGGTACATAAGGCATGTGTCATGGTTTAACAGGTTCATATATATACATGATTTCATTCTGTCCTATTGCCATTTTTTTTCGCTTGTTTCTAATGTGTCAGTCTTGTCTCTGGGCATGAATTTATGCAACCATAAGCCAATATTATGGCCTGCTGTACAGCCTCCAACAATTAGTTAAACTAATGCGTAAAAATTGAGTCAGCAATAAGAAACAAAAAAAAAATGATATGAAAGACAGCAACCACTGAATTACAAGCTCCTGATTTGGATAACAAGGTATCAATGTATCCAGAACAGTCAACAGTCAGTATAAGATTTCTGTGGCAGGCTGGGAAATCAAATATTCCTATTTCTAGTATATTGTGAGCAGTTCCAGTTATTTTCAAGGAGTTTTTGGTTTTGATCACTGCTTAACCTTTTCAAATTTCAAAGGCATGCATGAAATAATTGCCACTTGACGTTAATCCAACAATCAATCAAGTTCCAAAGTAACAATACTGTTTTTGCACAGAAAGAACACGAAGTTAAGGAAATAATGCAAGTTGTTATCAATAAAAAGTATTTATTTTTCAAACAATAATCAGACAGTAAACATTTGTACAAACAATATATCAATTTACTCAATTTCATATTACTTGTGCATTCTTTACTAATAGTGAGAAAAAAAAATTAACAGATTTCCTCCAATTTAAAGTGAATTCTACCACACATCTCTTTAGTTATTTACAATAGTTACTTCCCCTGTGGAAGAGTTGTCTTTCTGAGGAATAGGTATTTTGAAAAGACAAGGGGTAATTTTGACATTTCAATCCATTAATAAAATTTTCTATTTGATATTTGAACACAAGCACTAATAAAACATAGTTCTTAACTGATAAGTACATTTTATACACACATAGACACAAACAGCACTATAACAACAATCATTAATGTAAATAAACTTTTGCACAGTGTAATGAAGGCATATAAAATAACACCTTCAATGTACTTTAAACATTATATGTCAACAACTTGCACAAAACATCACATGCCATGGTATATATAAAATAACAGTTAAATGTTGAAATCATGGTATACTAAAGACATGTAAAAACATGCTCTAAAAATACCAGGTACCCTCTGCATACATTTCACTTCAACAAAATTAATTATTTACATGAACACGTTGCACTAAATTCAAACATCAACTGTACATTTTTCATGAACAACAAAATTAAAAACAAAGTGGTTATTGAATGCTTTTGGTATTATACTCAACATATTGCACTTCATCACAAAAACTGACTTCATACTAAAACAAATGCAGTTATTTACATGACCTATTGCACCAGACAGCAACTGATATATGTCTCTTTATGATATGCACATTCATCATTATCATCAAAAATAACTTAGATTTGAGCATTTGTTATTGCACTAAATTTATCAGACACGTATACTAAAACAAATGTTTGAATTTACATGATATATGAATACACATCAACAAAAAAAACTTTTATTTTAGAGTTTTCTCTTGCACTAAATATATCGCACTATAAAAATATGACAAATTGGCTCCAACCATAAAGATATTGCACTAGAGTATGAAATGCACACTTTTGATGACAGTATAAAGAAAAAAAAACTTTCATATAAGAGTTTGCTATATATATACATGTATTGCACTAAAATTATCACAACAACAAATGTGGTTATTTCTTCAACATACATTTTATAAAATGCATGTACATTTATTTGACCTTTGGTGGCTTAATAAATAATTAAAAGGATTTCCTGTATGACAGCATAAAAACGTTTTTCTTGAAAGACAAAGAAGGTATTTGGCAAATCTTAATTTTCAAGGTTCACAATTGGTTTAATCTTATTGTACTAAGTAAGATCTTAATCTCTGAGTCTTGGCAAAACTTTCTCTCTTGTCTGTTATCCACTGGTTTAGTTTACATCCATCTAACTTTACTAACGAATCACTTTCTATTGTTGGGAATGACCTGTGATGTCGACCAGGAACGGTGGCAAATAAATTTTCTGAACCCAAATGTTCCACTAGCTTTGAAATGTCCTTTTTCATTGATGGTTTTGAATTGCTAGGTTTTCCAAAATACTGATCTAGGCCTCTAGTATATGAGTCTATTATGTTGTTGCAGCCTTGTAAATTTCTACCGCATCTCTGAATGGAGGCTGACGACATATTGCCATGCAATGAATTCAATGCATTCTTTGCCCTCATGTTCAAAAACTCAAGTGCTTGGTCGGCTGGAACATTACACCCCTCAACTCCATGAATGTTCATGCATCGGTTGTGTCTCAGCTGATGTGCTAATTTTGGTGGTAAAAGTGCCATTAACTGAGCCTGTAAACGAAAGGCTAAAAGGCGATATTTGGTGTGGTTATTGAGAGAAAATCTTAGAAAATCAAACCTCCACATTCTCACTAGCCTGTCCCCATCGTTCTCCTTTGATGAATCTTCTCTGATCCAGTCTTGGAGACCTTCTCTTAGCAGACAACAGGAATAGTTGAATTTATAATCCGGTTTTTCCTGCTTTTCCTCTGACTGGTTTGAAGTAGACTGTTGATTTAAGTCTGTCTCTACATCGGGTACACTTAAATCTGTAAGATGTCTATATGGGCAGATGCCACGATGGTTTTGTCTACATTTTCCGTCCCTAAAAAATGTCTTTTGACACCCTGGAAAGCCACATGGTACACGGTTCTCGTCATTAATATTATTCCCAGGACCTTTCTGCTTTAAGGATGGCATCTCTGTTTGAAGGAATTTGTCAACTATACTTTTTGATAATTTTTCCATAAAAGTCTTCTTCTCTCCCTTTGTTTTAGTACTCAGGCTCTCTTCAATGTCATTCACTGAGTGCATATTTAGCACATTCAGAGCAGCAGGGATGACATACCCTTGTGTCACAAAACGCAGGAAGTCCCGACAACTATTTACAGCATCTTTTACCTGCAATACAACAATGGTACATATTAAATCAAAAGAAAAAGTAAAAAATCTGGTCTTAAGAACATATGTTTGCTTTCTTTATTCCAATCAAATCCAATATCAGTGTGATGTAGATTATTATTTATGTAGACGGTTATATTGCCTTCACCCTACATGTATAAGATACCAGTCCTCTGCACATCAACTTTGGTCAAAATAAGAAATATATATGCGACTTTGAGATTAAGAACAGCGATAAAAGCGCTGTTCCTTTGCTTTTTGTGTGTTTTTTTGGGCTGTGCATGTACTGATTTTGTATCACGGATGGATACCCCCTAACCTTTTTTTTAAGCATAGTTTGATTCTTAAATTTTTCATATTTTTTTTCTCAGAAAATAGATTTATTATAAAGTGTTTGTTAATCCCAATTTTATTTCATTGTGGCTTCCCAACTTTCATGAAGATCACTAGTGAACTCTAGTTTGATACTTTTAATTGTCAAATTTAAAGTTGAAACGCTGTCTCATATGACATATACAGTGTCTGTGATGTATCCTTATCTATATACATATAGTAATACATACCTCAGACTTAACACCTCTGTGTTCAAAAAGGTCCCGTAACTAAAATAATGTTCCCTTTTCTGGTGAGGAAGTTCCTTTAAACAGCTGGTTGAATGTGTCCTACAGGTAAAAATGTGAACAGTTAGTGGTATAAAAAGTAGCTTTGCAAGGATGTTTCACAATATAACTTTAGTTGAATCAGAATGATGGAGAGTCTGTTGAACAAAATTGGGTTTTTTTGGGTACCATTTATAAATTAATTTTCCGATGTATTGGTCAGGTGATATTGCCATTGAACAAGTTAAACAAAGGAATGTATTTATATATATATATCAATACAAAACTATAGAGGCACTCATATGCTTAAAGTTTATATGGAAAAAAATCACTTATAATTGTTTATTTATACTTGTTGTCTCTTTGGCAGTCATATATACCACATGTCTATCTTTATCTATACAATGAAAAAAAATTAGTTCTGTTATTTGAACAATAAAATATTTTGAATTGGATTGTTAGAATAAGTGCAAGTTGCTATAAGTTTAAATGCTATTATAAAAATAATACCTCAATACTAATTCTCACCTGCAATGGTATGACATGGGCATGCCAGTCTTCGCTTTTCCAAATAAAACCTTCTAGGCGATCTTCTTGTGAAATCCCATCAGCCCTTGCTCTCTGTGCTCCTTCCCCTCTTTCAACAGAGAGTCCATCACCTGCCATCAAAAGTGGCATCATCTTATCGTGTGCTTTTGGAGTATACTGTTGTAGATGTTCAATAATTTCTATCATTTCTTCGGTTTTATTTTCGTCTTTCTCCAAAATGCCAAGTGGTATCTGAAAAATATTATTATTATTGATTATCAACAATGCTCTATAAAAGTACACATAATAACAACATGTTTTTACCTTTTTTTAATGTTTGTACTGTTTAAAGACATGTATTTGAATTAAATTTGAATTGATTGTAACCATTATTTATCTTTAAAGTATCATATAGTTAGGGCATTATAACATCAGCAGCAACAACTTCGTTCCTGTTAAATATGAAAAATACTTAGTAGTAGCTCAGCAAACTGAACATCTGCTCGAATTAAGACTGGTTTAAAGTACTTTACACATTGATCAGAGAAATGAAACAAATACATGTACTTACCACACAACTTTTTTTCCTGGATTCTTTTGAGAATTGATGCGGTATATGATAAATAACGAATTCCTTGCAATCTTTCAACTCTTTTATGTTTTCAACAAGAACCCTTTGAATCAAAATGTTGTATTCCTGGTTCAGTTGGTTGTAGTCCTCTTTACTTGGTAGGAAAGCTTCATTTGGTATAGTTAGTATGTCAGCCTGAGGTACACAGTCTTCCAGGTCATCTGCAGAAACTCTGTCTTGAACAGCTAATGCATGGACAAGATTAAACATTTTGTTAGACGTGTCTTCTGTTTTGTGTCTAGCTTTAGTCATCATATTTAAGTTGTCCATTACAATTTGGAAAGATGATATTTCATCTGTTTCTGTTGCCATAACAGTGGTGTAAGGTGACTCTGTGAAGACTTTTGCTGATGTACGATCAGGTGTATCTGTTAAAATCAAATTGTAAAAAAATGAATAATTCTTATTTCATGTCTAGGCTCTTGGTTGAAACAATAAAAATAAATGACCTTTTAGTTTTACATTTTTTTAAAGATTAATAAAAAAATAAATAATTAACTGTAATTTCATGACAACCAATTCATGCTCTTACCACACATACATGTACGGGTAAGGAAAAAAATATTCAGTAAGCATATCACAAATAACTTATTATTATAATTGTTTGCCAGGGACAAAAAAAGGGAAAATCAACATACCGTTAGATGAAAGTGAAGTCCTAGGTGTCTCTGGTAGCGGTGAAACTGGTACTGCTGTATACATGTATGTAGGTGATTCACTTTCTGGAGTTGAACATTCAAATGGTGACTCACAGAATAATTCAACTGGATTGGTACCTTTAAAATAAATATAAACCATATAAATATATGTATTGGTGTAATAAAATCTCACAGCAGTCAGTGGAAAGTACCTGTACTAATCACTTATTTCAAAGTTTGCTTATAAAAAGTTGAATGTCAATAAATAATACTTTTAAACTTTTTCGGTTTATTCATATTACTGTGCCACTATGGGTTTAAGGCTTTTCAAGAAATTCCAAACAGCAAAGTACATTAAACATTAAATTCAATCTGCTTGCAAACATACATACATGTATTAATGACTAAATATTCAATCATGAAATATACATTATTGAAGTGAAATTACCTGTATGTCCTTTTGCTGGTGTTTCCAACACTGGCAATGTAGTACTACATGAAGTGTGGTCTTCCATTGAAGACAATGCATAGTTATGTTCATCTACAGAAAATTGAAAAAAAAAAAGTGTAAATAAGTTGTTCGTCTTGAGTCTTAAGTATGTATAGATCAACATGCATATACTTACATGTACTAAATTCAGAAATTATTGAGATGTTTTTATTATTGTGAAAAATGTTTACATGGTTATTACCGCAATAATTTAAACACTCATTTTGGAATTTTCAACATGAATTAAAAAGGATTTAAATTTTCTCAATATCGCAATAATAAATGCACGCAATATATTCTGAAATTACAGTACTGAAATTTTTTTTTTAATAATCAATGAATATTAATATCAAAGAGTGCTGCTCATATCAAAACTAATAACTTGACTCATTACTTCTTTTAATCTTGCTTATTTTCTTTACTTAGCACCTTATACAAGTACATGTATTTTAAACATCAGGTTATATAACATGTAATTTCTGTGCCATTTGGTGTCTTGTGAAGTGTTATCTCATTGGCAATCATACCACATCTTCTTTTTTTTATATGTAAATGAATTTCTATTAAATAAATTGTGCATTTCAACTAAAGGTCAACAATTTAAAGACATTTTAATTACCTAAATGTGTAGTTTCTCTCAATTTCTTGGTGTAATGACTGGCTACTCTATTAGTCCAATTCCGAACCGGCTGGTCAAAGTTTTGGCATATCTGGTCTACATGTCTGATAGTTGATTTGTATGAGCTGCACAAGCCTGCACGGTTAAATGTAGTGTAAATCTGAAAAACAAAACATATCAAATGTTCAAATTGAAATAATTCAACGATAACAGTACAAATACAGATCGACAGAAACTCATTTTACTTTACATATATATACAAGTTTTCTCGTTTAAACTATTTTAACATTTCTCATATATTCAGGCCTTTTATAGCTGACTTTGAAGTATGAATTTGCTTATTGTTGAAGCTCATACAGTAACCTATATAGTTGTAATTAACTCCTATGTCATTTGGTCTTGTGGAGAACTGTCTCATTGACAATCATACCACATCTTTTTAATCTATATACATGTACATTTTGAATATCTTTTTTTGTGTGAAAAACCTCCTCTAGATCTGTAACACAAAACATTTCTTGGTCCAAACTTTCTAGATTGTACATGCATATGTTATCATGTAAAGATATATTTACCTTGGTGCGAATGTGAACTCTGAACATCAGAATACTATTAATGGCTTGTATTGCACCCATCTGTGAGTTTCTGTTGAAAAGCAATATGGCTATGCTGGATACAATTCTTGGTATCTGTTTATTCTTATTTCCCGCAATTAACAACATCAACTCTGTTACCAATGGACATGTTTGTTTGAGTTCATTGTAAGCTCTCTTCCATGAAAATTTTTCTAGATTCTTTGTTCTTAACATACTCTCCTTTGCTTGACATATTTGATGCAGCTCCTGGTTCATCTTTTTTTTTGGTTATTTGAAAAATGTCCTTCTTTAAATCCTCAATCTGGAGTAAATGGTTAATTGCTGTTTTGTACTGCTTCAGCTCAATTGCTCTGCAAGCCAGTTTACTTGAACCTTTCAATGTAGTTTGTCTTGAACTTCCTTTAAATCCCAGATGTACCTGTGAAGACAATACCAACATGTAAACAAAGAAGGGAGTAATTTAATTTGCATGTGTTCAGGGGCAGATCCAGAAGTTTGTTGAATTTGGAGCACCATAAAGCCAACATTATATGTTTCTTTAGAGATGTATATATGTGAGTGTTAGTAGTAATGGATAAGAAAATCAACATCATAGGTGGATCCAGGGGGGCCCCCCTTTTGTGGGAAAAATTTGGTTCATTATATAGGGAATCACTTAAGTATGACAGGAGCAGCCCCCCTTTTAGGTCAGTCAGTGGGCCCCCCTTACAAAAAGTTCTGGATCCGCCACTGAACATTCCAACATTCAGTTAAAAAAAAATATTGTATGATATCAAAAAATGTTGTGTTGTTGAAGGAAGTCACATAAAAGATAAAAAAAAGTTTCTACAAAAAAAAAAAATATGTTCACAAGAAATTGAAAAGTGAGTATTTTGTTATGAAGACACGTTTCATAAACTGATACCAACCTTAACATCTATTTCTATTTATTCTTAAAAAACAGATTTTAGTTGGTTTTTATTTTCCTGGTCAGAAGATTTAACCTGTTCAAAATTTTTGATCTGTACCTATCATGCCTATAGAAATTAAAAAAAACCAATAAAAATATTCATACTATTCTAATCAACATGTACATGTAGTTTACATTAAAGGATCAAAGTGACATATTACACATAGGTGCCAATATTTAAACACCCACAGATAAGTTGTCAAAATCACACACAAAGAAGATGGGATTAATTAACAGTTGATTTAAGAAGTCAAATCCAGCTGTGATTAATTTCATGTCCAGATAACACATGCATAAGCAGTAGCAATAAAATTATGTTAGAAAAACAAGTATTCATTTTTACTGTTTGATAACACATTAACTTTAATACCATGTAGAATATGGTTCTATCTTATTATAAAATGACTAACCTTCACTTTTGGACCTGGACTGACTGGAGATTGTCTAGTAGATTTAGGGGTCTGTCGTGGAGTTTTGTTGAAATTTAATCTCTTTCTTCTTGCTTTTGGAGTCTGACATGATGCTGCCAATGGTTTCTTTCCATGAGGTGTGTATCCCGACTTCACTGGAGTCAAACATTCCCTCGATCTTTTCTTGGTTGGAGATTGTTTTTCCTGTGCAATTGAACATGATTTGATCCATGGCGTTACTACAGTTGTGTTTTCAGGATTCAGCGATGAAAATTTTGTAGATGCTACACTTTTCAAAGAGTCTGTCAAAGTAGAAAGTTTCTTCTGACTCCTATATATATACCTTGTATAACATTATAGCACTTACTGCAAACAAAACAGTCTTGTTCAAAACCATTGAAATCATGCAGTTCAACACCACCGTAAACTGACTCCAAAGTTTCTAATATATTGATTTCACCGTGAATCTTATTAATATTCCTCCTACATTCCTTCGTTAAATTCTTCAGATCAAACACATGTGTACAATGAAAACACGTTTCTTGCTCCATTGCACATGTTTACAAACAATTTTAAACTCCTCCTCTATTTCGCGCCATACGTCAAGATATATTAATCCCATAATGCAGCTCGTTTCTTTAACTTCCGGTTGACGCGTTTTGACTGTAAGTGCATTCAGGCGTTAATGGAGTGATCGTAGTGATCGTAACATAACGACTGGATTATTCGGGTTATTCAAATGGTATAATTTGTCATTCAAATGCAATATTTTTTATTCAATTGGTAAAGTGGTTTTTTATTTATATGCAATAATTGCATTATGGGAAATTCTTTGACGTCATAAGGTCAAATTTGCAACAACGTTTGTGATTGGTCTGTAATTGTTTGGATTTCTCCCCTTTCTTTCTAAACATGAATGACCAAGAATTAAAAAAATGGCGTCAGAATATCGCTTCTCAAACTAAATCTGGCGTTCGTGCGAGTTCTGCACCGGCTGTTAAAATCATTTGGTCCTAACTATTATTTCTATTTCAAAATTTTGATGGTCAAAACGTTCGGACCACCACTTTTCAAAAACTTTCATTATTTATGGATCTATATGCATGTATAACGTTTTTTTTAAAAAAAAAGATTAGACACCGTTGGATTTCCCGTTTGAATGGTTTTACAATAGTCATTTTTTTTTTTGGGGGGGGGGGCCCTTTATATCTTGTTGTTCGGTGTGAGCAAAGACTACGTGTTGAAGACCGTACTTTGACCTATAATGGTTTACATGTACAAATTATGACTTGGATGGAGAGTTGTCTCATTGGCACGCATACCACATCTTCTTATATCTATATACAAAATAAACCAGACGTTTCTCGGACTGTTTTCTTTTTTTAATAAATCCTTTGCCGCGCGTTGTGTACTGATTGATGCTTCAGTCTGGGAGAACAAGATTTATTTCAGTACTAGTTGTAATTAGCTTTGAGCAAACTTCCAGTAATTGCAAGTACTCTTATGTCGGTGCTTTGTGTCTATTGTCTTAATATTAGGGTTTTTTTGTGTGTCTCCTACCGATCTTTTGAGTTAATCTAATTGCAACTGATTAGTGCAGGTTGTTCTTTTATTGGACTGTTACACCACTGTCAGAGCTTTGGGATGGGTTGAGTGCTCACAAACATGTTGTTGTATTGTTACACTACTGTCCCAGGTTAGAGGGAGGATTGGGATCCCGCTAACATGTTTAACCCCGCCACATTCTGTATGTATGTGCTTGTCCCAAGTCAGGAGCCTGTAATTCAGTGGTTGCCGTTTGTCGCTGTGTTATACATATTTGTGTTTCGTTCATTTTATTGTACATTAATTCGGCCGTTAGTTTTCTCGTTTGCATTGTTTTACATTTGTGATTTCGGGGCCTTTTATAGCTGCCTATGAGGTGTAGACTTTGCTTATTGTCGAAGGCCGTACGGTGACTTATAGCTGTTGATTTCTGTGTAATTTAGAGAGTTGTTTCATATGCAATCATACCACATCTTCGTTTTTATATTAACCCTGCCATATTCTTTATTTGCCTGTCCCAGGTCAAGAGCCTGTAGTTTTGTGGTTGTCGTTGGCTCATTTCTCGACTCATATTTGATATTTCGTAAATTGTTTTGTTTTGTATAATTAGGCCTTTAGTTTTTCGTTTAAATTGTTCACACTTTTCACGTCGGGCTTTTTAAAGACGACTTTACAGTAATAGGTTTTTGTCATTGTTGAAGGCATTACGATTGTCTATAATTGCTTACATCCACTTCATATTTGAACTCCGGTGGATAGTTACTTTATTAGCAATCATATCCCATCTCTTCGTTTTTATATTATATACCTGACTTCTAAACTCGTGTTTTCCTGAACAAGCATGAAATATTTGTCACTGGGCGTTAAAAATTAGCAACAAACAATCAATCAATTTAAACTTGTGTTAAATAAGAGGAAAACCATTTGATATTTATTTATTTGTTGGGGTGGGGGACAGAAGGATTTCATAAATTATATGAATATGGTTGCCTGGTATAAGAGCTGAAAAATAGGCATGATTAGCGACAGATTAAAATGAATAATAATGCCCTCTCTTCCCTTCCCCATCCTTCATCTATAAATTAAACTGACCACCACGGTATAACCCAATAGTGTTGAAAGTAGCGTTAAACACCAATCAATCAAAATCCCATCCCAAATATCAAATAATAGTCCCTTAACTGTTATTGTCCGTGTAGTTCTTATATTTATCCAGCTTATCGTCCTACAGGGATGTCCTACTAAGGCTGGCATACCATAAAAACGTTTATAACACAGCTCACATTCTAATATATTTGCATTCATAAATTTATTAATGTCATTTAGACTAAACGACGCCATATTTGTTATGTGCCTCTGCCGTCTAAACAACCTATAAAAAAGAAGAGATAGAAGAGAGCCAGAAGATCTTCCCAATGCAAAAAAAAACAGAAATGGACTTCTTCTGGCTCACTACCGAAGAACAAACAAACGCGCCCTATTAATATGTTTTAAAAACGCCTTGCCCCTACCCTTTTTTTCCAAAAAATTGGCATTGTTAAATATATATACATATATATAATCATCATTAAAATGCTATATATTTTTATAGGACCTACTTTATTACATGATCTGGGACTAATGACATCTATCTATAAGTCCAAGCATACAGTAAATTATTATAATATGAATATGTTTCTTGTTTTGATAACCACATATGATGCTATACATGAGTCACCATTTATCAGGACGGGAATTGGGTTTACATAGAGAGAATAATGTGCAAAAAATAGATAAGGGGCGAGACCAACCCTATAGATAACATATAAAAAAATGATGAAATATGAAGAATACGTTGATTGATTTTTGGTTGCCTTATGTCCAGTGGCAAATATTTCACGCATGTTTAGGACAAATATAATAGAGATCAAAGGATAAAGAAAAGAGTGAAATGGTAAAAACTAAAAGATATAGAATTATAGAAACGATCTTTGATCTGAACACCCTCCCCCTCCCCTCACACACACACACCATAACCATTACTGCCAATACTCGCATATATACATCTCTATACAAATATCTAAATCTGACACCCCCCCATCCCCCTAGACACAGAGGTTCTGGATCCGCCCCTGTTAAATGTATCTTATTATATACATTTTGTACGGGTCTAGATAATAGCTAAACGTACAATTCTATAATTTGTTGGATACAAATCATTAGAGATTTGTATCTAATTATATTATATTCTGTGTCACAAAAAAAACTTGTATACCACCTTACTTCGATGCTGGATTAAAAAAATTGCCCAATTAAGACACAAAGAAGATGGCCTCTTAACAGTCCAAAAGCAATGCACACACTTTAGTAAAACTCATTTATTTCATCTAGACATCTTTCTACAAAGCACAGTTGCTCAGTTTCTTTATCAATAGAAATTTAAAACATGAGAATTCAGAATTTACATGTAAACAAACCACAAAAAAAATATTGAAAGACGTGGTTTTACTGACAATGGAGGCTAAAGAAATCTTCAAGATTTACAAAACATTACCGACAAAAGCCTTCAGTTGCAATCTTACTGTAATCTGATTATCTCTACTAATAAATAATACAACACTAATAACACATTTAAGTTTTGGAATAATTTTATTCACAGAGACTTTTTCTCATTAATTTACATTTCTCTGCTCTTGTCTTTTCGGAGTTTAAATTGGGAATTACAAATTGCTGCATGAAAGAAACTAGCTCCACATTTCTATGCATATGATCGTCATATGTACTTGAGATTATTCCATAAAACATCCGTTTGATATCCTTTCAATGCCAGAAACGGTCTTTTACCCAGCTGTGAGCTAGTGAATTTTCTAACACAATTACAAGGAAAAACTGGCTACAACTTGCTCTGGATCAGGCACTTGAATCTTACATCGATCTTGATGTTAAGCAGTTTAAAGGCCCCTTCGGAACTGTTGAATTCTGTGACAGTCTTCCTTCCATACAGAACATCGCTGCAAAATAATTTGATCATTCACTATTAGGTGATAATAATATTATTTGGCAATCCAAAGAGAACCTGAAAATATTAGACCAATGTTTGAACAGAGAAATGCCCCCTTAAAATCAAATGATTGTTACCACAGATAAAAATAATCTTAATTTCGTAATATTTTCACCCGACATCCCCCCCTAATTTGTTCAATGTATGGTGGTTTTACCCCTTTTCGGCTTTCAGTATGTCATATTGTATATCTTTAATGAAAAATGCATAAATTAGATGAATTTCTAGTTAACTTCTACGATATTCTTTATCATTTGACAAACTATCATGCATCTGAATTAAATTGTTTACTATTTGAAAAAGCGCACCTTCGTTTACTTTAATTTATCTCCCTTTATTTCACATAGCAACGCAAATAAAAAACTGCAAATCTTTGCTGCATATCATATTTTCCCCGATAAAAATATATATCATGCAACATGATCAACTTTACAAATTGGGAGAAAATCAAGGTGTTCCAACCATTGGATAATATTAAAAAATAATAATGAAAGGATGGCATGATTACAAGTTTGAACCCTGACGACACTAAAAATCGAAAATTCACCTATCATATGAAGATACGATGAGGTGATAAACTTAACAATTAATAATTTACCTGATTCATTATCATATTCACATTATGTTGACACGTCTTAGTTCGTCTGTGCTAGCTCATTTCAAACAAGCAAAACAATTCCGGCATTATCCGTTTTTCTTTACCGATCGCCTCTAGTCAGAAGAGCGCACTGTTTAC